ATCTGTTGGGTTCCCTGTGAGATTGCTACATTATCTATTACATTGTTTCCATATTACAGACAAAGAAATATACTAGTGGGACTGAGTCACATGCAGAATTTGGGACAAGGGGGTGGTGACAAGGGGGTGGTGGATGAACTTTGGTGATAAGGTAGGCCTCCACTGGAAGAGTAGACGTGAGATGGCAAGGTGAGTCCTCCTGACGCTTTGACGTGCTCCGTCATGCATCTTGATCCTATAAATTGGATCCTGTGCTTAGAGATGTAGGTCCCTGAGCCAAGAACGGGTTCAAAAAAAAAAAAAATGCATGAGAAGCACAGTGTCCTCTCACTGCTGAATCAAAATGCCCCTAGCCAGGATCATCTAGGACTTGGCCACAAAGCAAAAGTTGGAGCATCCTTGGGTAAGCAATATCTTGAGAAACTGTTTAAGTGATAGCATGTGTTTGCCAGGGACTGTCAAACTCCATCTGAAAAGAACATGGCCTTGTGCACTCATCATGATTCTTAATCTTTTTGGGGGGTTGTAAATCCCTTTTGGGGGGTGTTTCGAAATTTGTGGACTCTTTTTCCAAAAGAACTCACATGCACATGCATCATTGTTTTTCATTTGTTGTAACTAATGAAAATGCTCAAGGTATATTTTGGTGCAAAATGAATTACCCCCAAAGGCTTAAAACCACAGTGAACATTTATTATCTCAGACTTCGTGACTCAGGAATTCAGTAGCCTCTGAACTGGGCAATTCTGAGCAGTCTCCCTGGAGGTCCTCTGGGCCCACTATCATCTGAAGGCTTGCCTGGTGCTGGAGAATCCACTCCCAGGTTTCTCAGACTCATAGTTGGGTAGGTTGGTGCTGGCTGTTGGCAAAAGTCCTCATGTGGTCCTCCCTATCAGGTTGCTTTGATGTCCCACTACATGGCATTTGGTTCTTCTTCAGAGTATGTGATCTGAGAGAGCAAGGAGAAACCCCAGTGTCGTCTTATCACCCATGAAGTCACGAGCCATCCATTCATTGTTCATTTCCTGTTGGATACACGGGTAGCCCCATTCAGTGCATAGAGCAGGGTTTGGGGGTGGAGGGTGATGGAGCTTCAGTGCCTCTTCAGCTGGACCACTTTCCCAGCACCTCAGGGTGCTCACTAACCTGTACATGAGGGTCTAGGGTTTCATCACTTGAGCATGATTGGTTAAATCATTGGCTTGGTGACTGGACTCCATCCCCAGCCCCACTTCTCTCCCTGAGGTCTGGCGGTGGTGGTGGTGGTGGTGGTGGGGTGAGGGGAGGTGTTGAAATTTCCAACCCTGTAAGCATGACCAGCTCCTCTCTGGGAACTCTCTAAGGGCCCACCTGGCATTGCTTCATTAGCATAAACTCTTGTATGGCCCAAATCAGCTCATCATGAATATGGAGAGACTCCTATGATTCCGCCAGTTCCAAAGGGTCAAGGAGTTGAGGGCCAGGAACTGGGGCCAAAGACCAAATACTCCCCCCACACCACACCACCACCATTGCACACATTTTACTGCAATAGTGAATACAGAAAAATATTTAGGCAGCAATCATGCATCATTTTTATTTTTTATTAAAAAGTCTTCCTAGTTATAAAACTAGTTCACGCTCATTGCAGAGGATTCGGGGAGGAAGTAAAAAAAAATAAAGAAAAAAACCCTTTGCCACCCTCTAACCCAGTATTTTCTCTCTAGTCCTCTTTATATAGTTATGTATAACACTTTGATCTTTCCTTTTGCTTTACAAAAGTGATATTTGCTTATTGCAAAGGAATCCAAAGAGTACAGAATGTCTGAGGTTTAAGTTTTTTCAAAAAGCAATTCTTGCCTGGGAGGAGCCTTCTGTTGTCGACTGAAGATGGAAGGGGCCCCAGGGATGGAGGATGTAGGGCAGGGCAAGAGACTAGGGTCTGCATGAGGGCGGCAGGGACCACAGCAGGGACAGTAGCAGAAGGGCATTGTGAGGGTGCAGTGTGGAAGGGGAACTAAACTCTCCAGAAGAAAGAGTTAATTTTTATTTCTATGCTAAAATCCACTTCCTAAGTACAGCAGTGTTTTCCGGGATCAAAGGCCCTTCATGGGGTGGGAGGGAAATTAAGGAGACATTTAATAAATGGGTACAGCTGAGTATGTGTGGTTGCAGTACAATCCCAGATTTATTGGTCAGATTGTTTATATATCTTTTCCGGACTGGACAAGTTGTTTTGACCCTGCTGCCCTGGCTCATTCAACGGCCACTTAACACTATTTACCTTGTGTGCAGCAGGTGTGTGTGATCCGCTTACCCTGGTACGGTCTGTGAGTAGAATGCACTCTGGCTAAACTCCTCGTTGCAACATCATGGGCCGGGTCTGGTAGGTCTCAGCTGCATTCTTTGGACAGGGAAAGACAAGAGGAGAATGAAACTTTCTTGAATCAACTCACCGTACGATCTCTAGAAGGAAGGAACTTAAAACCACGGAGAGCCTTAACTTAGGATAGGTTCATGTGAGCATCTGGCCAGCACCATCTTGAGAGAGACATTTTAAAGCAACCTTTCTTGACCCTGGGGGAGCTTTAAGATATCCTATTGCCCAGGCCGCGTTCCAAATCGGTCACGTTGGACAGGTAGAGCTCGCCCTGTGCCCTGTGATTCCCTTGTGGATCCAGGGTTGAGGAGTAGTCCTTAGAGGAAGGTGCCGCGGCCCTGACCTACCTGCAGTCTTCTTTGCAACGTGTGGGGCCTGATTCTTGCTGCTCTGTCATGGAAGGCTGAAATGAAGGAGACCCAAGTGTTATGATTGTCATTAAGTTGTTTTCAAAGTGTCAGCATTTCAGAATGACTACAAACATTTGATTCAACTGTCACAATGTGTGTGTGGGTGGGTGTGTATTTAAAATTGTCATTAAGAGAGTACATATAACCAATGTTATGTGCCAGATTTTAACATTCTGAAAATTACTGACGAGTTCTCTTCTCCATGGTTTTAAATATAGTCATGAATGTCATCAGCCAGAATGTATCACAGTCACATAGCACTTTGCTCCTGTATTCCCCTCCTCTCGCTCCACCCCTCTTTTCCATTTTTTTCTTACTTCTCCTAGAGCCAAGATGGGGTTCTGTGTAAGACTTGGGGAGAAACGGTTCTGTGTGAATTGGATTAGAAGCCACAGACCTTTCCTTGTATAGCCAGCGGTTTTGAGGTCTCTCATCTTGCAGATGTCAGCTTGCTTTGAGGCACAGCCAGCTGGGCTGGCCTGAGAGCTGCCTTCCACTAGGCTTTGAGCATCCCCCCAGTCCCCCCACCAGCTGGGTCCACTTTTGATAGGTTTATGCTGGGGCAGCTGCCCTTCCTATTTGGGGATAGAAGGGAAACTGCCATGGGAGTGATCTGTAGCTAGGAGTGAAGGTAGGCACTGAAGTGTTCTTGAGCAATCGTTGGCCAGAGCCTGTCATCTGTGGATCCAGAGCCACAGAACGTCCAGTCAATTTGGGTCCTAGTAGCAGCTCTTTATTGAGAACTCATTGTGTGCCAGGCACTGTGCTAGGGACTTTATTGATATAGCCAGTTCTGATCCACAGCTACTTCTATGAATAGAACTTGTGTGCTTTTTCTACTATGCTGCTGTGCCTGGCTACTGCTGAGTGGGGTACAAAGGGGAATGCCTCCTCCCACCTTTCGAGTAGCTCAGATACAGTGTGCTGTGTTGGTGTATTAGTCCGTTTTCTATTACTATAACAAAAAGCCTGAGACCGAGCACTGTGTTTTGAAGAAGGTTTATTTAGCTCACGGTTTTAAAAGCTGCAACTCTAAGACTATTGTCCCCATGAGTTCTGCCTCTATGATATTGCTCCATTACAACATGGTGGATGGCATCATGGCAAAAGCCTGTGCAAGAGGTCACATGACGAGACAGGAGCCCAGAGACAAGGGAGAGGCTGGTCTTGCTCTTTTTATAAGGATCCACTCTTGTGGAACCAGTACTCACTCTTCTTGGGCCTTATCTCACACTAGGCCCTGTCTCTTAACGGTATCACCACCCCTCACATCACCACACTGAGGACCAAGCTTCTAGCACATGGACCCTGGCGGGGCTGCCGAGGGACGGGACCCACAGTCAAACCATATCCAGGCTAGAGCAGTTGGCATGTAGTGAGAAGTTCAATTCACCATATTTTATCTGTGTCCCTGTGAAGGGATGCCATGTGACAGAGAACACGCAGAAGGCAGGCAGAAGTGACCTTGGAGAGCCATATCTCCGCCAGAAGGCCGGCGTCCCGGGCGAGTCGGGGCTGAGCGCTGCGGGGCGGCCTGTGGCTGTCCTGTTACACGTTTCGCTGTGCACCGTCTGCTTCCCGCACTTGGCCAGTTGGTGGGAATCTGGGCGGCAGGGATCTGCCTCGGCGCTTCATGTTCAGCTGGCAGCAGCGTGTAGGAGCTCCGCTCCGCTTCCATTTATGGAGGGAAAGGGAAGGAAGGAATGCTCCTTGGGATGGTGGCGGGGAGTAGTTACGTTTGAAAATGTAGAGCGTAGCCCCCCAAAAAGGGCCTCTCTCCAGCCAGCCTTCTAATTAAGGAAGAAACGTTCAATTTCAGCTAGATGGTGTGAGAAGGTTGCTTTCGTTTGTTTTCATCTGAATTTGTGCCAAGGGTTCAACTTTTCCTGCTCGTTTTGTTTAAAACTTTGTAAACAGCCATTAATAATTAGATATAAAACTGCTGCCTAAATGACAGAGGGACTAAGTGAAATTCACAAGGGTCAGCTGCCGAATAAGTAACAGGAGCACGTCCTTGCACGATCAAGTTCCCACATATGCAAATTAGAGACAGTGCTTTAACCACAGAGTGTTTTAATTAATATTTATAAATCACACAGAGCCTCTGAAAGGGCCAATAAGCTATTTATATTATCATCATGTCACACAAATAACAAACCCTCTGGAGATGGCGGCCTGTGTTTGGTCTGAAAAGTAAGCGAGTGTGTTGTGTGTGTCTGCCTCTCCTACAGGTGTGGTGTCAGCACAGCGGCAGGTCACAGTCCAGGAAGGACCCTTGTACAGAACAGAGGGCTCCCACATCACCATCTGGTGCAACGTGAGTGGCTACCAGGGACCCTCCGAGCAGAACTTCCAGTGGTCCATTTACCTGCCGTCCGCCCCAGAGCGGGAGGTGCAGATCGTCAGCACCGTGGACTCTTCTTTCCCCTACGCCATCTATACCCAGCGTGTCCGAGGTGGAAAGATCTTCGTGGAAAGAGTCCAGGGGCACTCGGCTTTATTGCACATCACAGATCTCCAGGCCCGGGACGCCGGGGAGTATGAATGCCACACGCCCAACACCGACGAGCGCTACTTTGGGAGTTACAGTGCCAAGATGAACCTAGTGGGTAAGGAGATGCTGTTTTCATGTGCCAGAGTTAGGCCTGAGTCCCCGTGTCTCGTACCGCGTGTTTGACTTTATCAGGACTCCCCGGATATTTTAGAGGTCGACAGGTGGCATACGTGAACAAAATTTCTGTGCTCACTTGTAAATAATAGAATGCTGGTGTTAAAACTTAAAAGAGAGCTCATGCAAATGTTATGCACTTCAGAGGCTGACCAGACCTCCAGCTGGTGAAAGGGATTATGAAAAAATATAAGGCAAGGACTTTATAGGTGATGATGATATAGAAATGATATACAAGATAGAGACTATTACATCAGCCAGAAGGGAGGTAAAACCCCTGTAGGGACAAAGAGAAACTTCCTTTGCCCCTTCCAATAGGCAGATGAGTAGAATAGTTTTAGGAGGAGGTGTTCATGGGCATGAGGGTAAACTGGAGGAGAGTGACCACCCAGATAACCCAGGGAGGCCCAGATGCTTATAGGTCCCTCTTCACAGGGGAGAAGGGGATGGGGAATAAGGTAATTTTGAGGGGTAATAAGTGATTTTAGGTGAATGAACTGGCCAGTGTTCAGACAACAGTTTGTAAATTATTCTCCCTGGGAAGTGAGTGGGCCAAGAAGACGGACGGTAGCTTGTGACAGAATCTGCCCAGGTGTGGTTGCATTCTTCCGTCTTCCTCCCTGTGGATATGAGTTTAGTTAATGAAAACCCAGGGCAGGGACCAAAGGTAATTGCTTTCTTCTTTGGCAGGTCTGGTCTTTATGCAGATAAGGGAATATCAGAGTATAACCTCTTGCAGCAGATGCTGCTTTCCCAGGGCCTTTCACTGAAAATAATCAGCACATGAGGTTGCCCTATTTTGAGGGGGAATTCCCTGGACTCTTTCAACTGTCAGAAAGGATGGCCCATTTGGACAGGCTCTGAGATGCCCGGGTGCTGCTGAGTTAGGAAGAGAAAGCGGCTGCAGGTCCTTGCTCAGCCCTCTGGCTTCCCGAGTAAGGAGTTGTGAACCCGCCGTCTCCCTCCATGTGTGTTGAGTGACGGGGAGGAGGGGGGGGGGGGCGGCTTTCCACATTGATGGCCCTGGCCACGGTTTTACAAAGCTAGTGTGAAAGGTTAACAAGATCAAGGCTGTTATTTCTCTGCTCAGGTCTTTAAATCTCTGCTTTTTTATTATCACAATTAAGCAGGAGTGTTGATGGTTCTTTGATTAACAGCAACACGGAGTTTTGCTTATTTTTTTTTTTCCTTCCTCAAATAACAGGAGGACTTTAAGACCCAGTTCTGAGATATACACGGAGAAGATGCCACACTGGTTGTGACTGGGGTGCCCTCATCAGAGAGAAGGGTGGTATTTAATCTCCAGAAAGATGTAAGGATCAGGGTCAAATTCCCACCATGGGAACGCAGGGCAGTCTCCTCACTTGCCTGAGTCCTCCCACACTGTGGCTTCCTTCCAGTGTGGACCATTTTGGCTGAAAAATTATATGTGTTAAAAGTAGGGCCCGGGCGTGTCGGCACACGCCTGTAATCCCAGGGGCTTGGGAAGCTCAGGCAGGAGGATTGATAGTTCAAAGCCAGCCACAGCAAAAGCGAGGCGCTAAGCAACTCGGTGAGACCCTGTCTCTTTATAAAATACAAGACAGGGCTAGGGATGGGACTCAGTGGTTAAGTGTCCCAGAAATAGGGGATAGTGAGGATTTTCTCTGCAAAAATCAAAACAAAACCAAAGCTTTCCAAGGGCAATGCGTTGTTGATTAAGTTGTGGAATAGAGAGGACAGTGAGTTGAGGAATAGGGAAAATGAGGCCAGCCTTTGCAATTTCGCAAGGCCCTAGGCAATTTAGCAAGGCCCTGTCTCAAAATAAAAAGAGCGAGGGATGTGGCTCAGTGGTAAAACACTGCCAGGTTCAATCCCCAGTACTAATGAGTGAATGGATAAAGGAAGGATATCAAAGCAATACGGAAATCAACAAGAAGTCAGCGAGGTGTGGTGGTACACACCTGTAATCCCAGTGATTCAGGAGGCTGAGGCAGGAGGATTGCAAGTTCAAAGCCAGCCTCAGCCACTTCTTGAGGCCCTAAGCAACTTAGTAAGACTCCCTTTCAAAATAAAGTAAATAAAAGGGCTTGGGATGCAGCTCAGTGGTTGAGTGCCCCTGGGTTCAATTCCTAGAAACTCCCCCCGCCAAAAAAAAAAAAAAAAGCCTTATTAGACTTAAAAGAAAACTATTTTGACACATTATGTTTAGGAGAGTTAATTCATCACCGTTAATTAAACTGTTAAAGGTAAGTGTGATGTTTCCCTGCCCCCTGAGTGTGTTTCACAGCGAAGCAGAAAACTCTTCCTGTGTATCACCTTTCAGGGTTGTCTGTGGCCTTGGGACAACTGTCAGAGGCAGACTCTGTTGGGAACAGAGGAACAGTTGTGCCTGTGTACACAGAGCAGGGACCTTGCTTCCAGTGAGTCCCAGACGCTGTGGCTTTGTGTCGGCTCACTATTGGGACGTTTTGTGTTGCAGTGATCCCAGACTCCCTGCAGACCACTGCCGTGCCCCAGACCCTGCACAAAGTGGAGCAGGATCCGCTGGAGCTCAGTTGCGAGGTGGCCACAGAGACGGTCCACCACAGCCACCTGTCTGTGACCTGGCTCCGGCAGAAGGGTGGCGAGAAGCCGGTGGAGGTCATTTCCCTGAGCCGGGACTTCATACTGCACTCCAGCAGCGAATACGCCCAGAGGCAGAGCCTGGGGGAGGTGCGGCTGGACAAGCTGGGGAGGACCACCTTCCGCCTCACCATCTTCCACCTGCAGCCTTCTGACCAGGGCGAGTTCTACTGCGAGGCCGCTGAGTGGATCCAGGATCCCGATGGGTCATGGTATGCCATGACCCGGAAGCGCTCCGAGGGTGCCGTGGTCAACGTCCAGCCCACTGGTCAGTTTCTCTGAGCCTCTTGTCCCTGTTTGTCACCTGGTAGCGAGGGTGGTCAGACACTGGGAGGGTGCGGGGACATCTTTGGTTCTCATGTGAAGTTAGAGATGATCTTGCCCGCAGCTGGAAGACACAGGGACATAGGTCTCCTGAGACCTGGTTTTCCAACAAGTTCCAGACAGGTACTGCCCAGGCTGAATCTTGCCTGTTGTCCTGGTTTCTTTACCTACACGCTATTGTGCATTTTTAAAAAATATGAAATTCATTTTAAAATTTGAGAAATTTCACAGAAAGCAATTCTACGTCATGACTCTGGTTCCCATTCCTGTTTAGCCACATCCGATACCCCTTTGCTGGTATTGCCCTTCTTCAGGTACCAATTCATAGAAGACCTTGTGGTTATGAGCCTTTCATTGGAGGCCTAGAATTATGAACTATAGAAATTATTACTTTTTATATTAATATTTATTTAGTGGTGTTTTACAGTTCCCAAACTGCTTTGTCATTTGTTGTCACGATCCCTCAACAGTTTTGTCAGGTGATTAGGTAGGAGCATTTCCATTCCATAGGTGAGGATGTGGAGTACAGATTACTTTATGGAGGGACCTGAGGAAGAGGCCAGTCCAAAGAGCACCGTGTCCCACCATAGATGCTTTCTCAAGGAAGACCTGGGTGGGCCCCTCAGGAAGTTGGGTGATGTGTTGAAGACTGTGGCAAAGTGATAGTGGCCTGGTGAGCTGTATTGATCTCCGGCTTCTCTTGGTGTCTACCACTCTAGGCTCCTGAGCCTGCTAAGCTCCAGGTCAGAGCCAACAGCTCTTGCTATGCCTATTCGGGGCCGGGAGCCAGGATCTCCTATGGGCTACCAGCCCCTGGCTTTGGTTGGAGGATGATCATTAGGTATCCTGAAAGTGACAGTGGCCTGTGAGCCTTTCCTTGTGTTGACACTCACCACTGGTGAGGACTTTGGTGGTCCTGGTGAGGGAGTGGAGATTTGGGTTATAGATGGGCTTCTCTCATCAAGACCTTCTCTTGACCTCCTTTCCCATTTGTTATAGTCAGTTGTCTTGGTTCTGTGTGGTTCCTCTGACATTCAAGAGCAGTGCTTCAGACTCACCAAATTGGACCCTTTATGGGCCTCATCCCAGAGTCCTGAACCAGGGGACCCTTGGGAGGGACCTGGGAATCTGGGTTTCTGGTGCACTTCTCAGGTGATTCTTCGATTGTCTACAGTTTGTCAAGTACAGCTCTAGAGGGAATAGGGAGGAAGGGCTTCTCTGGACATTTATTTAGTGGAGGGACCCCAGGTTTGAAGACTTTTACCAAGGGGTTGGGTTCCTAGACATGGAACAGTGATCCGCTCTGTAGGACCCAGGGCTTTTAGCCTCTTCTGGATCTTCTGAAGTTAAGAAGTCTACCAAAGGGGCTTTATTTCCTATTTTGAATCTTAATGCTTTTAAATTAGGTTGCATCGGTTAATCTTCTTTATTTTAATCTTACCAATTTGGAATTAGGACTTTTTGAATTTGCCCTGCAAACGTATCTGGACTAAGCCAGCAAGGGGAAAATTAACATCACCAAAAGTCGATGACTTTGTGTTCCTGTTCAGGCTCAGTGGTTGCATGACTAACTTTGTCCTTTGCTTTGTTCATTTTAGTCAACACCAGTCAGTCTCTACGGCACTGAAGTCGTGGTGCAAGGCCATAGGGGATGCAGAGATGAGTAACACTTAGTCTCTGTACTTAAGAGTACTTGCAGACCTGGGAACCAGTGGCCAAGGAGAAGGTGCTGAGTGCTCGATAGCATTTGCAGAGTGTTCTGGAAACACAGTAAATGCAAAGATTTTTGCTGCTGTGATTTTTCCCTGGATGGAATATTGGTTAAGAAAAATCCAGGAAGGTTGGTGACTTGATCTGTCTCAAAGCTTGAGGAGATGGAAAGAGGAAGAATCTGAAGGCACAGAATGATTTGTTTGGCAAGTGGAGAAAAGTCATGCATGACTAGATGTTGAGTCGTAGGTATGGGTGGTGGGAGAAGAAAGGAAAGGTAACCTAGGGCCCTAGATCCTGTGGTGTGGAACTTGGACTTGACTCTGTGGACCAGGAGTTTCCAAGCCTGGTTCTTTCTTCTGGGAACTTCCGAGGGGAAGACACCGAGGAACCCCTGGGAGGTGCCTGAGAAGGTCCACCTAGTGCATACACATGTCCGTATGCATGTGTGTGCATCCTGGGGCTCAGGGGGAGGTGTGGGAGGGCCTGAGTCTTCCCCTCTTGCTTCAACCGTGTTGGGCAGCCAAAAGATTTTATATGAAGAAAGGAGTTCTCCTTCCCCACTGCCTCCTGATAAAATTTGAAAAGGGCAGGATAGAGATTTTTAAGCAGTTAGTGACTAATTAGGGGTTTGGAAGGAAGAACTTACGGGGGCCACCTGGAGGCTGCCCAGACAGGTTGGGTTTGAGGTCAAGAGACCTGGTAGAAAAGAGCTGTTACAGCTAGAGCAGTGGCAGTGGCCTGGAAGGGATGCCGTGACCAGAGGCCGAAGGATGGAGGACTTGATGGAGGGAGGAAGCCAGCTGGAGGGAGCCCTGGGGCTGGGCCTGGGGCTCCTGTGGTTCTGGGCACCGTGGGGAGGTTGGAGGTGGAAGCAAGGGTAATGAGACCTGCAGAGTCCTGCTTGAAAGTCAGTTGGGGTGACGCTGGCTGTTCTTTAGTCAAGGAGTCCATCCCTCAAACTCTTAGAGAGATGCTCAAAATGTAGAAGGAGGCCTGTGAGTGAGGAGGACCCAGGGAAAGCCCGTGTGGCCACAGGAGGAAGAGGCTCAGGAGACCTGTAGAGGGGGTCCCTGGGGGGTCAAGGCTCGTTCCAGTGAGAGACAAGACCAGAGTGTTCAGGCAAGCAGGAGGAGAAGCCGAGGGGGAGACGCCAAGGATCCCAAGGGACTTGGGGGGCTCCAGAGGCTGAAGCACACTTGAGAAGAGCCTTTGCTTATGGTGGGGTGGCATAGGGTGAGCCACGGGTGCCATTGGCTAGGTCAGTTACTTGTGGGAGAAGGGCCAGAAGCCAAATTTCAGTGACCGGGACTCGAAAAAGCCTAAATTAATTACTGTCCGTTTACTTGACTGGACATAACCGAAATCTAATTGCTCTTCCGAAAGGGGGCGGTGTTACATATCCTCAACCTGGGAGCATGAAGACTTCCCTGAGCCAGCGGGCATTCCCCTAGGATGCAAAGTCTTTGGCTGGCAAAAGAAGAAAGCCAGTTGCAGCCAGCCTGACCAGGGCAAATGGAAATTCCTGAGGTTCAGGGCACCCCTCATCATGTCCACACTGGCGTTTATGTGGAAGGAGTGCTTTTTTTAGCACTGATGTTGGGTTGTGAATCACTGTCCTTGGGCTGACCAGAGGGCTAATAACAGAGCAGATAGCATGGACGCAGTCCCACGTGGGTGTGCTCATGCGGGCAGACGGTGACGCATTGGCAGGCACTGATACATTGGAGTTGAGCCCTGGAGTTGTTGAGTATAGTTTGCTCTGTCAGGAGGTTTGAGTAAAGGCAGGAAGGAGTTAAGTCGCTGGAGAGAAGGGATGTGTGGGGCAAGACACTGTCCCACTCGGCAGGGGAGTGGGGATGGGGAACGGGTGGGTGCAGAGCTGAGCTGAAGGAACACACACGAAGTATTTGGGTCACGATTCGTGTGTTTTCTCAGGGAAATGGGATTCTCCTCTGCTGAGAGAGTGGGTGGGATCAGGGACGAGTGGGGCAAGGGTCCTAAAGGTAGATGGTGGTTCAGACTGAATGCCATAGAGGGAGGGCAGTTCATGTCGAGACTATAAAGTGTACAGGGAATTCAAACAGCGTTGCGATGGGATTTCCCTTTGATGTTCTCTTTTGGAGGAAGGAGGGGAATTTGGGAAGTGGTCACAGCCAGGGCTCTGTGACTCCATGTGACTCCATGTCCAAGGACAGAAGTCTCCTCCATCCCTCAACTCCTACGTCTTTCCCCTTACTTCTGTGTGGGTGCCTCTGAGATTGGATAACCGCCTCGTGAGTTAACAACTCACTGTGCACCATCATATAGAATGTGGTCCCCATGACGAGCCCTTCTTGCATCTCTCCCCCGTGCCTGGTTGGACACCCAGCTCTTTGGAGAGTGCTTGGGTTCCTTGGCTACTTCGAAGGTGGTCAGGCTGTCAGTGGAAATGGATGGGCACAGCCCACATTTAATCTGGCAGGTGATAGGCCAGCGAGAAGATGTTAGTTTTCATTTCCCCTGTGCCGTGCTGTTGGGGCTTGTCTTATCCACGTCTCACTTCCAGTATTCACATAGGGGTTGAGAGAGAATTTCAGAAGATTCATTTTTGAGTATTTATTGGGATTGGGGTCAGCACCTAGGCCACCATAATTTTTTTCTCACTGACGTGTGAGGTAAATCCTACAATATCTGCTGAAAATACTTGCAGTGGCATTGCTTCTGTGGATATTCAAGGCAAGACCTTTGCAATCTGCCATTTAAGTGATATCAGGAGCTCCTATTGGGTTCTGGGGAGTCTAATCTAGGGCAGTATAAGCTTTGAACAGAGCCTCATTGGTCTTAACTGAGATAACAAACTCCTTGGAGTGTCTGGGTCTAGGTGGGAATTTGTGATATTCATGGGTTTCTTTGGGCCTCAGGTAACCCGGGTCTGAATTGGATTTTCTCTCAAGTGCCGGGACCCTTCCCTGTGGTTAGCATTAAGAAGGGCCAAGGGAGTAGGGTTTTTCCAATGTAGTTTATCTGCAACCCTCATTCTCCTAGAACAATTCAGTCTTTTTTATTGTTATTTGTTTTCTCAGACAAAGAGTTCACCGTTCGGCTGGAAACGGACAAGCGTCTGCACACAGTGGGTGAGCCCGTGGAGTTCCGATGCATCCTGGAGGCCCAGAACATTCCCGACCGTTACTTTGCTGTCTCCTGGGCCTTCAACAGCTCCCTCATCGCCAGCATGGGGCCCAACGCCGTGCCCATCCTCAACAGTGAATTTGCCCACCGGGAAGCCAGGGGACAGCTTAAAGTGGCCAAAGAGAGTGACGGTGTCTTTGTGCTGAAGATCTACCACCTGCGCCAGGAAGACAGTGGGAAATACAACTGTCGTGTGACTGAGCGAGAGAAGACAGTCACTGGGGAATTCATTGACAAGGAGAGCAAGCGTCCCAAGAACATTCCCATCATAGTCCACCCCCTCAGTAAGTAGAGAGAGCTCTATGTGCTTGTTCCCGTTGGTCCCTGGTTCCGTGCCTAGAGCCACTTAGCAGGAGAGAGAATACAGCTGGGGTGGGGGAGTGCAGGGAGGGTGGACTGCAGCGTTAGAGCAGAGCAGAAGAGAGCCCCTCTGAGTCCCTCTGCCTCCTCTTGCCCACCTTCCACGCCCAGCAGGCCCCCGGGTTCACAGGCATCAGGCTTGTGTGTCTCAGCTGGAGATGGGCACCAGCAGACCCGAGCCGGAGCAGCTCAGTGTAAACACCAGCCGTGCCAGCTCTGCTTGGAGCAAGACCAGGATTCCTGGAGAGCTGATAGCTCCTGAGTGGGAATGGCGTCCCAGGAGAAGTGGGTTGAGGCCTGTCTTGAAATCTCACCGAAGGAGAGTTGGTCTTTTAGGGGAGGATTTTAAATGATGAAGTGCATTCTTAAGAAGGATTTGCTGTCTGGGTTTTTCTAAGTAGAAAGGTGGGCATTTCCCACTTGTTTCTTCCCTGGGTTGGAAATTGCTCTGATCAAAGTCAGCGGGTGGTAGAGGTGTCATTGCCAGCACAAAGGAAAGGAGCACGTCCTCCTGGAGCTGGCCTCAGAGGAAAGCTCAGCCTCCGTGAGGCTGCTGCAACAGGCCCCGCCTCCGTGAAAGCTGGCGTTGTCCGGGTGGGGTGCAGCCCTTGCTGGGGACTCCGGAGACCACCCAGTGTCTGGGCATGTTGTGTTCCAATGTCCATAGCGTCAGGTTGTTCTTATTAATCTCCTGTCTCTCGTAGTTCTGTGTAGTAGAAAGATAATAAACACTTAACAATGCTCTGATTGTAAACGAGAGGATGAAGTTTTAAAAACTAACCTTTAACCTTTCCTTAGCTGCTCAAACTGTTCTCTCAGTCTTCTAATGATTTCCTTTGCATTTTTATTTACACCTTTTCATATTTAAAATATTTCTCTCCAAGTGGAAAGTCAAAAATAGACTTGGGATTTGTGATTTTTTTTTTCTTCTCCTCAACAGGGTTATTTTCTTTCATGCTTGTTGTGTTTTTAAAAACCACACAGGTACACACACACACACACACAGACACACACCTAATTACCTTGAAATTTCTTCTGTTTCTTTGACCTTTTCCCCTGTAATGCCTAGCATGGTGCTTTGCATAGAGTAGGTGCTTGCCAAATATGTGTATGGTTGAAACTGTGGAATTGAATGCCCACTCTTCTTTACCATTTTCCTGTCTGTCTGTGCTTGCCTTAACCACGGACTCTCTACTTTAAAATCTACGACTAATTCCTCCCTTATTAAGGATCCAGCGAAGGGCAGCCACACTGTTTACTTCCTGTATCTTTTGTACTGAAAGATTTCCCCCCACCCTTTCCAAGAACCTGTTTGATGATCTGTGGCCTGCTATATTGCTTTTCCAGCAGATAACTGGGTAGTTAAAGTCCCCCAGCACCACCAGATCCTGCCCCAAGGCCACTTGGGTAAGTCTACCAAAGAACAACAACAATCACATCGGTAATGGTGATGATACCTTGGATTTGAATGGCGCTTTTTCTCCCAAGAGTCCAATGTGATTCTGCTTAAATTATCTCCCTCTTTGCTCCCACCTCTTAAATCCCTGTGGAGGTCGATATTATATCTATCCTGGGATACAAAGAAGTCAGAGCAGCACAACAGAGAAGTGACTGAGCCCATTGACCACTCAGGGGTTAAGCTTGCATTGCGTTAGAGACGTTCGCTTCTAACTCCAGATCCACCGCTCTGCGCTTGGCCTGTGCTACACCATCAGCCTCCTGTTTTGAAGTTTCATTTTTGAACCTGCACTCAGATCCTCATTAGTTCTGTCCTAGTTTTCACTTAATCCAGAGAGTTTTAACTTGTTGGTTGCCTTTTTATAGGCCTTGGAGTCCTTGTAAACAGTCAGAATGGGCATCACGGCAACAGGTCTGTGCTCACCTTTGCCTCGCCTGCCAGAGTGGTTTTCCTCCCAAACCGTGTGGTTTTTCCAACCTTGCTCCACACAATAGCCAGAACTTATACCAAAGTCCACTGGGGTGACAGTAGGGTTAAGAGTGACATCCTGCAAACCATTCTTCTGCATGAGACAGACAAAAGGATGTTCTCCCTCGATGCCGAAGATGACCTTTCATCCCTTACTTTGAATCAACAACAGTGGGGATGAGCTTTGAACCTAAAAAGGAATATTGATATCATTAATGATGATGAAAAATAAGTATCTCTTCTCCCTCTCAGCATCTTGACCCCAAGAAGTAGGCACGATCAGCATCTTCACTGTGTACATGAGAAATCAGAGTTTGAGTGGGTTATGAAATGACACCGGACTTACAGAGTCAGGAAGTCGTGAGCTTAGCCAGATCCATGCTTTTAACCACCAGTGCTGTGGCTCTTCAGGAGCCTCCTCATATCCTTGAATTGTCTCTGCAAGACCCTCGAGAGAAGTTGTCCTCCGGGGAGGTTGCTATATTCCCCACCTGTCCAGCACCCCTCACCACACCCCCCTCCCATGTAAAACAAGCAAATCCAGAATAGGTAGCAAGCACACACACTGTAAGAGGAGCACAATGCTGAGCCTCAGTGCTCGTCTTTGTCTTTTTCTGCCTATGGGAGACATAAAGAGGAGAAAAGATTGATTCAAATGCATTGTTATGTGTACGTGTGTGTTTCCCTCAGTAATTGGGTGCGCTTCTTAATCGGGGATTTGATTGGTTTAAAATCACTGAACATGTTTTTGTGTGAGTGGTCTCCAGAAAACTGGAGCCAAATTAGTTATGGCGCTGCACTTTGTGTTCCTTAATGCTTACAGGCCTTTTGAACTCACTGTAGATAATCGTATAAAATAGCGTATGCACCATTCACATAGATGAAAATGTACTTGCTGTTTACGAAAACAAGGAGTTTTTGCAAGGAGTAAAATTAATCATGATCATGGTGGGCACTTTTGAAAAGCTGCTCTGTTAGGTGATCCATAGGCATTGTCTCATTTACTTTTTACTATTGAAAAGTTCTACAATTACAGTAGCATTCTACCTGTCTTACCAAAGAAGTGATGGAGGCATGTAGAGTTTAAGTTATTCAGCTGAGTGAGATTGGCTGGCTAAGTGAGTAGCTAGACTGAGGTGAGAAGGGAACGGGATTGTCTTCCCAACTTTGATTGGCGGAGTCTTTCGAGGTAGGGAGCAGAGGAACCCAGGGCTGAATGAGGACAGGGAAGAGAACAGTAGATGACAGGCCCCTGGCTTTGGTTTATTCCTCTGTGTTGATGAAAGTATGAAAGCTCACCCCCGTGCACTCTGTTAAACTAGACCATCTGTGCTCCGTTATTATCCACCCTCAAGCACATGCCATCTTCCAGATACTTCCTGACATTTTTTTTCCACTAATATTATCCTGAAGGACTCAAATGGCACATTATGGATATTTAACTTTGATTTGACTGCTGTAGCACAGGATGGTGGGAAGACCGAAGTGCAGCAGGATTTGGGACTTCCTCATCTTGCTAAAAATTCAAGTTAAAAGTCCTAAACTCCAGCTGAAGAGGTTACCCCCATACATTGTTTTATGCCTTAAATGTCATGTCCTTGTACTGCGATTCGGTCTCAGGTCCCAGAACCCCATTATCCCAGTTCTCTGTATGTAGCAAAGAGCATCCTGGGTCATCAGATCTAGAGTCACAGGAGCAGTACCCAGAAAGAGCCAGGTCATGTAGCAGCGAGTATCACAGTATTTTTATTCTCCATCAACAAACATGATTGCCTTTGCACCTCTCCTCCGGTGGCATCTGTGGGGAGGGTACCATGGAGACCATAAAGCCCCCAGTGTGGCACTCTCTCCTCTCCACAGAGAGCAGCATCTCCGTGGAGGTGGCCAGCAACGCCAGCATCGTCCTTGAGGGCGAGGACCTGCACTTCTCCTGCAGTGTCCGCACAGCCGGCAAGCTGCAGGGCCGCTTCTCTGTCATCTGGCAGCTCGTGGACAGGCAGAACCGCCGCAGCAACATCATGTGGCTAGACCGCGATGGCACCGTGCAGCCGGGCTCATCCTACTGGGAGCGCAGCAGCTTTGGGGGCATCCAGATGGAGCAGGTGCAGCCCAACTCCTTCAGCCTGGGCATCTTCAACAGCAGGAAGGAGGACGAGGGCCAGTATGAATGCCACGTGACCGAATGGGTGCGGGCGGTGGACGGCGAGTGGCAGATCGTGGGGGAGCGCCGAGCCAGCACCCTGGTCTCCATCACTGCTCTCGGTAAGCAAGTTCCGGGCGGTTATGGAGGCTGCTCTGGTGTTGCAGCACTCCACCTAGACTTTTATCGGTCTGGAGTTCTCATAGGGAGGCAATGGCACTTCAAAAGTCCTTGATTGAAGGGAGTCTTCGGGGTGGTAGTGGCAAGGTTGAGAGAACCAGCAATGGATGGGGGAGCTCCTGGGGCCCACAGTTGCTGGGAGCAGTTACTCATCCTGGGACTGGCTGGTACGAAGGGGTGTTATCAGTATTCTAGCCAGGTTAGTGTCACCACCCAAGAGGAACATGGCCACTGCCTAAACTGGCCTTGCAGAGAAGGAGAGGAGCCCTCAAAGTGGTAGCGCTGGGTAGAAAACCCCACGTCGCCATTTATTTGGCATTTTGCTCTGTGTGTGGCTGAGTCTAGGCATTTGAGCTTAATTGTCCCCTTGAATCCTCACCTAGCCAAAGGGGGACATGTTCATTTTACAAGGAAATGGAGATGAAGACAAGCTCGTTTGCCCAAGGTGGTGGCTTTTCAATGACCAACCCACAGTCTGAACTCAGGAAACAAACAATTCTGTCTTAATATTTTTCAAGGTCTGTTTTTTTTTTTTTAATTATCTATTCCTCTATAAGGCCCCTACTTAAGAAAGCCATTTCCTCATTGCACGAAAAGATATCTTGAGATTTGCTAAAACCAAAGAATATTAGATTTGCTTCTCATGGGGTGGTTAAAGAGGCTTCTGTCAACTTTTATCTGTCAAAGCCAATCAGCATATTAAATTTTAAAAGACCAGCCTGCTCCTTTGCTGGGAAGATAACGTGGCGTGGCACATCTTCTGTTTACCAGGAAGCTGGCCTCAGTTATCCTCAGCAAAACTTTACGTGTCATTTCTGGGGACCATGTCACTGCGTTCCCACAGGGAGGGCTGGTGGCACTGTCGGAACACCCAGTAAAGAGCAGCCCCAATGGATTAGCCTGATACCAAGTCCTCCACTTTCTCATCCCTCTGAGATTAGGATTACATTTGTTTTTATAAGCTTAATTCCAAAGGTGGACCTGCTGTCTGTAACAGTCAAACAGCTCGGATTTCTGCCTCCCAGAACTCCTCTAGTGACCGAGTTTCCTAATCATTGCTGCCCCATGCTCAGCACTAGTGCGGACCTTTGGAGACAGAACTTTGGGTAAAGCTCCAGGCATCAGTACTGATGTTTCTCCCCACCCACGGTCCTGTGAGGTTAAGATGTCTGAGGAGTGGTTGGAGTTTGGACTGTTTCTCTAGAGGTAATTTCACGGTATCGGGTCATGCCCAGAGTGATTTCAAACTCACCACGTGTCTGGCCAGTCCCACAGCCAGGTCATACTGAGCAGCCTGCCCTGGGCTCTGGTGCCTCAAGATGCCTCTGGCTAAAGCCACATCAGTGCAGACCAAAGAGGTGGATTAGAAAAGTGCAGGAGGGCCCCCTGGACTAAGGTTGTCTCTTTAGTCTAAAATAAACAATGACCCCCACACAGATTTTCACATTGGTACAACTAGGGTATGGATCTGCTCAGCCGGGAGGTGGCAGCCTCAAGGTTGTGGATGAGGTTGTAAGCGGGGCATCTTCCCCACACCTGCGGGCCTCAAGACTGCTCAGGTAGGGCGGCTTGGATGCTGTGGCACTGTGACCGTGGTGCGCCAAGCAGATCTTGTCCCCCAAGGCCCTGTTCTACATCACTCTTGTGATAACATGCAACACACAGGTTATAGCCATTTAGTGTTTAAGGATGGGCCTCTGAGTCTGAACTCTTTCTTTTAAGAATATATAGTAGGAAATCCAAATTGAAGATCCAGAGTTCTCAGCAAACTTTGCCTCGTTATTCACTGACAATCTTCCATAGAAAGCCCAAAGGTTCATTCTGTATGTCCACTTTCACCTATGGATTTTAAAGTACTTGACTTGGTATCTGTTTTGTTTCCTGAACAAAACACATATTTAACAAAATATGTAACCTGTGTCAGGAACTGTCCAAGTATTTTACAAATACTTCTTTGTTTAACTTTCACAAACCCATTTTACGTATGAGGAAACAAAAGCAGAGAGAAGCTAAGTAACTTGTTGTCACACAACAGGGAGGTCTCACAGTCAGAAGGCTGGCTCCAGAGTCTGTGCGTTTAACTACTGTGTTACGCTTCCCATGGGTAAAGCAACCTCAAAAAGCCCCTGGAATCAGTACAGTCAGGTCTGCAGCCTGATGGTGCTATTTACTAGCATTTTAACTTTGGGCAGTTTAATTTCACTGTGCCCTGCAAACAGGAACAGTAAGCTTACCTGTCCTGCAAGGTTGATTCAGTGAAATATGTGAGCAAAGCATTGGGCACTATGCCTGTCATGTAGATGGTGCTCGATACATACTGGCGGCTCTTAGATCCATGATTACAATGGTACCCTAACATGAACTAGCTTGATTGAGGTGTGACCATTAGGGATTAGTCATGCTCCTTCATTCTGTAGGGAGTGTCCAGACTCACCAGCTTACTGAGATTGCAAGCCCTGAATTCAGGACCATTGTCACCACCTGCTGAACATCATTCCCTCCTGCTGGGCATCCCTTACTGCCTCCCTGCTCCTGGACTTTGTGGGGGAAGTGGAGCAGGAGCTGGGGGCCTCTGTCTGCCTCCCTTCCAGGGCACCCATGCACTAGGGGGCTAGGGAAAGATGTCCAGGTGGGTGGGTGTGCACTTCTTGCTAGCAATGAAGAAAATTGGCTTTGGAGCTTTTTTTTTCTCCTATTTTTTGCACAGAATTCTGGGATTTCAAGGAATGGCCCTGGCTACATGGAATCAGCCCCCCTCCCCCCCCCAGCGAATGATAGCATCCAACTCTAGAGGAAGGTCTAATGCAAATCCATGTGACAGTCTCCTGAAAGGGTCTGGGCTCTAGAGTTTCTCCAGGAATTGCCTAGACCTCTTTCTGTGAGGTCTTGTAAATTGTCAGTTTGTGCCTCCGTATGACATAGAGTTTTATAAACCCTCACGTGAAAAGAATCTTCCAAAGAGAGCTGGTGAGCCTTGTCTTTGCCAGGAGCGCCACTGCTGAGGTCACACTGCCCCAGGAATGCCAGGTGCCTCCTCTGGCTGATTCTCTGCTCTCTTCTCCAGAAACGGGCTTTGCGGTCACAGCCATCTCCCGGACGCCAGGGGTGACCTACAGCGACTCCTTTGACTTGCAGTGCATCATCAAACCTCACTACCCGTCCCGGGTCCCCGTGTCAGTGACGTGGCGGTTCCAGCCCGTGGGCACTGTTGAGTTCCATGACCTGGTGACCTTCACACGGGATGGAGGGGTCCAGTGGGGGGACAGGTCTTCCAGCTTCCGAACCCGGACCGCCATCGAGAAGGCCGAGTCCAGCAACAACGTCCGCCTGAGCATCAGCCGGGCCAGTGACACAGAGGCGGGCAAGTACCAGTGCGTGGCTGAACTGTGGAGGAGGAACTACAACAACACGTGGACGCGGCTGGCGGAGAGGACCTCCAACCTGCTGGAGATCCGCGTGCTGCAGCCAGGTGGGTGCTGCCGGCCCAGGGCATCCCTGTTATAGGACCTGTGGGATGTGCACTTGCACTGCGTGTGAGACTTTTGTTCTTGGAAAACAAATTGTTACTTTTTGATTTGTTCTTTTTAGATATTCATGGCAGTGGGGTGTATTTTGACATACATACTTGGGACTATCCCTTCCCGTTCTCATAGTTATGCATGATGTGGAATTACACTGGTCGTCTGTTCACACATGAACATAGGAAAGCTAACAACGTGAGATTTGAGGACATGAGCTTGCATGACACAGGAGACCCATGAGGAGGGACAGTACGTGTGGGTTGAGCCCTGCCATAGCTTCAGTTTCCCAACTCAGAGAAATTTCAAGTCAATAAGAAGTTGCAAGAATTGTACAATGAACCCTGATCTTCTCTTTCCTTGATGGCCAGTTCTTGATGTCCCACCACACTTGTGTTGTCCCTCTTAGTATATTTTGGTTGTTTCTGAAGCATTTGAGGGTAAGTAGTAGACATCAGGACACATCCCCCTGAATACTCAGGCATGTAACTCTAAGAACAAGACGTCGTCCTACCCAACCACAACACCACTGCCACACGTGGGTATTGAGTGTTAGTGAGTGGTCCCTTTCTTACCTTTCTCCAGTTGTCCCAATATATATTGCCATTTGGGATATGTGTGTGTGTGTGTGTGTGTGTGTGTCCTGTGTGTTTTCTTGCCAACAAAGGATTCAGAGAGCGTGCATCACATTTAGTTGACCTGTCTCTTTAGACTCTTAATCTAGACCAATTCCCCTTCTTGTGTGTTTGTGTGTGTGTGTGTGTGTGTGTGTGTGTGTGTGTGTGTGAGAGAGAGAGAGAGAGAGAGAGAGAGAGAGAGAGAGAGAGAGAGAGAGATGATATTGACCTTTGTGGAGTCTGCAGGCCAGTTGTTTTCTGGAAATCTCCATCTCTTTACTCAACCTTATCTCCTATAGTCTTTGCAACAATTGTGTAAATAAGATATCATTGTCCCCCTTTGTAGACAAGGAACTCAGAGGGGAGGGGAAAGGAAAGGGGATGGGCTCTTTTTGAGCATCTGCTTCATGCTAGGTGCTAATCATCAGTTACTTTCTGAGAATTTTACAACCTTGGGAAGGATGCATTAGCCTAAGGTCTCCTAGCTGGTCAGTGGTGGAGGTGGGATTGAACTCCTGTGGTCTTTTGTCTGTAATGTTTCCTTAACCCAGGTTCTCTCCATGAGTTCCTTATTCCATGGAGTGTGAGACCTCTCAAAGTAGAGATAAGTAGAGTTTGGGGGTTTCTGCCATCTCCCACCTCAGGGCCTTCCATGAACATGGAGTGGTAGCTCAGTAATGTCCTGCTCTGTGGGCTTTCCCTGTCTCTCCTGGTGGCCTGCCAGGTTAGAGGCTGGTGGAGGGGGAGCCCAGGCTGCAGGCTCCTGCATGCCTCCCGTTGTCCAGCCCGTACACAGGGTAGAGCAGTCACCCACACACTGAAAGGTGAGAGTGGACCTTTGCAAAGACTTTTTTTGTGACTTTCTGCCCCGACCATTTTGCAAAGATGATTTAAATGCCTTGGAAAAAAAGGATTTTTATTTTTTTCTGCCCACTAAGAGCTGCGATTAGTGCCCTACCTGATCTGCTGGCTGACTTTATATAGCCACAGGGTTGTTTTCAGCCGTGTGAGGTTAAATAATGGTAATGTTTGCGTTTTTCCTTCCCTGTCTTCTGTCGCCATAACAGAGGCCTGTTCTGTACTGGTCTTGTAACAAGTGAGTTGTATAGATGATGAGATGTTCCCGGGTCAATTAGAGCCTGAGGCTGGGCTGAGAAGGGCCGGGGAGAGGATGTTCTTAAGTGGCGTTGCAGGTTAATGGCAGGTTAAGCGGGACACATTTGATGTGCGCCCTTGTTGAGGAAGCTCTGAGGCCCCCACTTGCCTGCCCTATCGAAGAGAACATTGGGATCATAATTGTGCCTTTTGTTGTCTCCCCTGTCACTCAAGGTCTGTGTTCTGAGCAGCAGTGGCTGTCACATGGGTTCTGTGGCTGTGGAAGGTAGAGCTGAGGCTCCCAAGACCTTGCCTGTCATTGCCTCTCTGAATAGGCCCCTGATATTTGCTCCTTTCTGTTGCGACTTGGACTCTTGGGTCTGAGTGCCTCAGGGATAAATATAGAGTTGGGTCATTGAAGGCTCTCAATATTTGGATTCTGATTAATTCACAGTAGCGCTAAAAATAGAAAGGGACAGAAATGAATGAAGTTCCACCTGGGCGCTAGGCTCTGTGCTAAATACTTACACTTTCTTTTTAAACTCATCCCACAGGCTGATCATGTGGATGTCTAGGTCCCCATTTTGCTAGAGAGGAAACCCAGTGGTTCGGAGCCCTGATGGAGCCACCACCTCCTTAAATGGCAGAACCGAGAGGCTTGAACTGAGACTGGAGCCCGGTTCCCACTGACTTGTGCACATTTGCATTTTCCATCATAACCGTTCCATCGCCTCCTAACAGAAAAGTAGCTGGAGAGTGCAGGGACCCCGCCTCTGCTCTCAGGACTGTCCTTGAGCCTTGTGTATGTCGGGTGGCTTCTGTTTGTGTTTTCACTGTACAGTGAGGACCAGCAGTGGTTGGCCCAGGGGACTTTCGAGCATCCCTGGGCTCATAATGTTGCGAGCCCTCTGCTCTTCTAAAAGTGCGCCGTATAGTTCACTTTCCTGACCCTCTGGAGGCTGGGAAAAGCAAAGGTAGGAGCTCGAGGCCCCTCTTGACTCCCAGCGTGGCTGAGGCACCAGGGAGAGTGCATGCCCTTAAGTGTTGCTGTCTCTCCTTATTAAATATTTATACAGTTAGCACTTAATATTTTCCAAAGAGCTTCATGTCCATTTCTCCTCTTTTTCCTAAATATGTTGGTTGGTACTGGTGTTTTTATGTTTTGGGGACATAAAAGTGGAAAAGTACGTGAAGGCTGACTGTGTGTCGGAGACAGTACTGAACACTTGGTGTGTATTATCTCACTGAATCTTCACCGCAAGCGTGAAGATCCTGTTTGAATAATGAAGTAGCAGAGGCTCAGAGAGATTCTAATTTTCCTAAGTCAGATAAGCAGTAAGTGGGGAGGCTAGGGTTTGAATGTAGGTGTGTCTTATTAAGAGCACTCAGGGTGGGAAGAGTTGGACACCTCCTGAAGCCTTATAATCACAAGTTATGTCTTTTGCATTCAGCTGATGGCACTCTTTATAGAAGAGGCTTCCCCTTGTAGGTCGCTAGTGCAGAAGAGTCTTGTCACTGGTGAGGCTAGCAGTCACAACAGCAGTGGCACCAACAGCAAATGGTGACTTTCACCATTTCTTGTGTGGCCATCACCATCCTGAGTGCTTTGCATGCAGTATCTTACTTAATTCTTTCTTACTCTGTGCACTGCCGCCGGGGATACTGCCTCACCCATTTTACAGAAGAGGACAGTGCAATAGGGGTTAAATAAATAGCCCAGTGATTCATAATAATGGGCAGAGCCAGGATTCAAATCTGGACAGGCAGTCTGGAATCCAAGTGCTTCATTTTATTATTTTATGTACTTTCTAGACAAAGTACCATTTATTTATTTAATTATTTTAGGAATCCTTTGGCACCACGTACTCTGTGTGTGTGTGTGTGTGTGTGTGTCTGAGAGCACACATGCTGGGGAGGACACCCAGGGCTGTGTGCGTGCTAGGCATGCCCCCCACCTCTGAGCTACACCCTAGCACCATGTATTTCTATTTACCATTTCCTCTCTCTGTTTTACCATCTTGATTTCCCCACCCTTAAATTTGTTTTGTAGAAGTCGGGGTCACACAGCACTCAGAGAGCTTCCTCAGGAAACAGGTTGCTAATGGCAGAGAAGTTTCATCTGTGCCCCTTCAAGCTCCTTTGTTTCTTCTAACTTCTGCCACAAGGTGGCTCTAAGGCTTGGCAATATCAGAGCCCCCAAACAGTGCCAGCCTCCCTTCCCTCCACCGTCCCTGCATACCTTGCTCCCCAAAACATGAATTCTTGGCCCTGCTCTGACATCTTCTATAGAAATGTCTCCTGTCCTTTGCCCCCCACCTTTAAAAGAATACTCTGTCGAATACTTTTATTCTGAGAGAATCGGTAGAAACCCAGGGGCTGGTGAGTGACTCAGGTTGGTCCAATTGTCATTGGCTTTGCTGCTGTGATGTCATTGCCCCCAGCAAGCCTCTGTGTGGCCTGTGCCCCACTGGTCCCTGCCAGGGCCACCTGCTGATCCTGACCACATCGCGGGTATTTGATTCTTCAGAACCTGGGGTGGGTCGACTTCCTGTGGCTCTTCTACGGCCTGCCCCTTGGCATTGCTGATCCCTGGACACATCCTCAGAGACGTCTTCAGGGAGTGAAGGCCTCCCTTTCTCTTTTTGTTGCCGATTAAGCTGAGGCTTACTTCCTTGATCTGCATAGTGTGACCCCCACGGGGCATTCAGGCAAGACGGTTAGCATGCTCTATTCTTAATTCTTAATCAGTTCTTTTCTCTTTTAATTGTAAAGCATCACCTTGCTTCCTTCTGATTTTCTTTCGTTCCAAAAACACCCTCCAATTACACATTGCTAAATACAGAAGCAATAAGGGAAATGTCAGCCCTCATTTTTCCAAATGTTTACGACCATATCTTGGCCTGGCTATTAAACATTGCACATTAAAATCGACAAAGCAATAAACAGGCTTCCAGGAGGACAGCCTCCGGTGGTAGAAAGCCGACTCGTCGGTGGGTATATTCTGCTGGGATTTTACTGATGGGTAGTCAGGATGAATATTTAATACCCTCTGGATGTTGCCAAATCCTTTTCCTTCTATTTCTTATTGCTGACCTGGCAGATTAGGTTAGCTGAGGGCTTTTTCTTTGACTTCCAGGAGTCCAGGCCACTTGAACATTGGCTCTCGTTATCACAGTGCAGTAGGGGCTGGCTGCCCCGTCCCTCCCCAGAGTGGCCCCAGCTGTCTTTTAGGGAAGCCT